TTACAGACCCGGACTCGAATTATTGGCCGATTCCGGGCGGATCCGGGTATTACGGTTCTGGTTTGCGGAACACTAGTCAGTACACAGCAAAATAAGGTTTAGAGACATTTTTGATCAAAAGTTAATTCATCATGAGAATTGATTCACATTATTCTTTTTGAAATCTTACTACGAAAAAAGAATAACACACCTTTAGAAACTATCCAAAATTGCATAGGTCAATAAGAATGCAATTTCATTATTATTTTTTTTTTGAAAAAATATCGAACATAATTTTTTTTTTGAAAAAATATCGGACATAATTTATTTTCTTAACCATTATACAAAAATAAGGCTCACTTTTTGTAAATTTTTTTTTACAATATATTTTAAAAACTACAATGTTACTCTCCTCAAGGAAATAATACTCCTCAAGGAAATAATACAATGTGACTCCCCTCAAGGAAATAAAGTGCAATAGCAAAGCAATGAGCACACATTTACATTAAACTTTTTTTTTTTTTTTTTATCAAATATGCCCGTAAATACCCAAAAACCTTTTCCGCGAAAATATCCATTCCATTAAAATACCCACCAAAAAAAATGAAAAAAGAAAATAAAAAAAAAAACTAAAGAAATAATTTATTAAAGTTTGGTACCGAGTTTCTTTTGGTCTTGTGGCGGGACACTATTATAGGTGCAAGTTTTTCCTTGAATGCTGCTAACTGGCTCGCTATCGGAAAGAATTGCATCTTTGTCAGTATCGTCACATTTCGGTGAAGAGGAAGCGGCAGCGACTCTAGACGCATCAGTAGCGGTGGGTTGTGCTGTTGTTGTTGTCACAGCTCGCCTTTCAAGGGGCGCGGCTGATACGAATGCTACTGCAAAGAGAGCTACAAATACGAAAATTTTGAAGAATTGCATGTTTTCTTTTATAATTTGTACTTTTGATTTTTTTTATTATTTTTTTTTTTTTTTTTTATTTTAACGTCTACCCTTTTGGGAGCTGAGATTTTTATTCAAGT